AATCGGGAAATTTGTTCGTGCTTATTTTATGTTTGGTGGGCTGGAGTGACTTCAGCGATGCCATTGAAAATGACCTTTATAATTCTGAAAGACCTTATAGCAAGCTCTCGATTCCTTTTTCCGTGTCTTTCAAACTTCTAATTTTCAAGCTAATCGGTTGTGGCCAAATACCCCCCCCATGGTGAAGTTGGTTGAGAACACTACTAGGGCGCGGATTTAATTTGTGGGATGCTTCATTCATGACACACTAATGACGAGTCTCTTTCACTCTGCTGCTCGCCATAATGAACCTGCAAAACTTTTCTGATTCATCAGGTCCAGCAGTTCAGAAGAATGTATCCAGCGAAGCCGAAGCAGGACAGAGCTAAGCAGGTCAGAGTCGAACTGAAATGTAGCTCCCTCCCGTAGCCAGCTTGGTAAAACATACCTCTGGCGCGGTAGTGCCGGCCTGCGATCGAGCCGTTCCGCCGCTCGACATATGACACTACAGGGTCCGGCAAAAGTTCTGTCCTCTATCTATGACAACGCTTTCCAGTCCCTAATCGTCTCTGCCCCTATACAGATAACGGCTTTGGCCGCACCCCTGCATTGCACGGTCCTTGGCCGCGGGACGTGAAGTGGCGAACGGATCTCGGGTCACGGATCACCGAGCTACGGCCAGTTTCGCACTGATTGTCCAGTGTCCACCCAAACGGCCGCGTCGTAAAATGAAGGTCTGAAATTTTATCTTGTGGAGCTGAACCAGACAGTAGGCATGCTCCAGGCCGAAATGACACAGCATGCCATTGCTGATCCTGCACACTCGGCATTGGTGGGACAAGCATGCGGCTGTTGGCAGCGTTGCTGATCGTTCCAGTTTGGGCGTTCGTCCAGCATTTCGACCGTGAAAGATATCGCATTGAAAGAGCCGGCCGGGAAGAGGGGCCAGTTGGCGACAATATCGTCCAAGTGGCTTACGCGCAGGGGCTATTCCATCTTCAGACAGGACCGTGAGGCGTGAGATGCTATTGGAAGAGCTTTCTGAGGCTCAGTACCTACAAGAGCCCCCAGCGGCTCACTTCTGAGTCGACGCATGGTCGATGGAAGGTCTACAATGACATGCATTTTCTTTCAGGACGGTGCGCCGGCTCATCGCTCTGCCAAGGCCCAGCGGTGGTGCGAATCGAACATGCCGGACTCCTGAAGGAAGGACATGTTAGCCGGCTACCATCCGGACATCCGGACCTAATCCTGATTGAGGAATTTTGGGCTATCATCCGGCACGGCTATCGTCTGGACAAACAGAAGCCGGCGGCCAGCCTCAACGCCTTCCCGTTACAGCTTTAACGGGCAAAGTCGAATATCAAGCCGTCTGTGCCGCACAACCTGTCTGCCAGCATGTCAAACTGTGTTCGTGCGTAACTCCCTATTCGTGAGCAATACACTGGGCGCTAAAAGGAATAGCCGCCTCTTATATGGCAACTAAGAGAGCACATCTTTTGAGAGGACACAACTTATGCCGGACCCTGTACTGTACCCTGTACATTCGAGGAGATGGTCAACGGTTGGCATCCAAATAATCTCGAATACAAGGCCTCGCCCGACCGCTATTGGACGGTACGGGCCAAGATGTAGGTAGGTACGCATCAAGCAATGCTTGGCGTGGGCTCCGACTGTCAATCCGTCCGTTGAAACATTCGTGCTAATCATTCGAGCTGGGCCTCTGGAAGCATCATCGATGGAGGAGGGGGCGCGCTCATAGAGACCGAAGGGCATAGTCCACACCGCTGCCGGCAGCCTCTGCTAGAGCTACAGAGCGGAGCTGATCGCGCTCAAAACAGTTGGAGATTAGGCCTAGTCGACAACCCAACGCACCATGGAGAGCCGATCAGCTTATGCACAGACTCTATGATGGCGCTCACGCGCCTCCGCGAGGGACAGACGGCGCAGAAGCCGCAGCTCGGAGTCAATCTCTCAAGAGCCCTGCGGACGACGCGTTCACCTCCAATGGGTCCCACTGCATTGAGGACTCCTTGGAAACGAATGGGCGGGTACCCTGGCGGCGACGCCTCCACACATTACCAAGAAACCAGAGTGCGACGTCAGGACCATCCAGAGGGCGGCGGCATAGCTGGCGCGCATGAGAACGATAGCGGTCTGGTCACGCGGTTGATACCGACAACTGGTGGGCCCCGTCTCTCTTCCTCTCGTCTCCCGATCCCGGGAGGACAATGGTCGAGCACCGTCGATGTGTAGGTACTAGATCCGCGCTAGTCACTAGTCCTTGTCCAACTAACACCTGGTCCAGCTCTGCTATAGGCCCTCAACCACCTGCACCGGGTGCCAGGACAAGAGATGCACAACGGCTCGGTGCAGGCTCTGCGGAGAGGAGGCGGACACCCTGGCACATGTCATGCTGAAGCGAACTGCCGGTACCCTTGATTCCGAAAGCTGGACACAATACACCTGACATAAGAGGAAGTACGCAGCGACCACGCGGTGGGGGAAGGGGGGAGGGGGTCCTGGGAGTCGCCTTTTTCTCCCTCAAGAGCCGATTGGCTACACCATTAGACCGGAGGGAGACAACAATGACATCGTCATCTAGCCTTATAAATAAAAGAAGGGCAATGTCGACGGCATCTCGTGGTGCGGTGTCGACCCGCCGGCGCCGATCCTCGTGCTGCTCTATAGACCAGGTGTATCATGGCTTTTGTGTGAAGCAGTGCTTGTCCTCTCAATTCTCATGTTACCATGCTGAACTGAGGTTACTCAGTTGCTATACCTGCTATTCCACAGCAGCAAGGTAAGTATGTATTGCTACACAGCAGTGCTAGCCAGCAATACACCTATCTGACTATTTTCCCTTCCCATTTTCCAAAATGCAGCTCTTATGCTCTGTCACACACATTCCAGGCCTTGTTTGATGAATGATGAGGGCTGGTCTGGTGTGTATTTTCAGCCTGGTTGGTGCAGCAATGTCCCCCTGGTTGGTACAGTTTGTCAACTCTGCTGTTAAGCTTTGCAGTCTGGGGTCAGAGGCCTACTCCAAGATAAGAACCCAGGCTGTACAGCCAGGGCATGGATTCCTTCATCCATGCCCAGGGTACACCCCAGCCCTTACCCTACCAACAAGACTACCACAGCCAGCCTTGGTTCAATGAGGGAATGGAGCTCCTGCACAAAGCATGGACAGGTCCAGTGTGCTGCTTCAAGGAATGGTCATGTCACAAATCAGCCAGTCATATTGGTTTAAACATGAAAATACACACAAGTAGAATACAGCCAAGCCAAGGCAAACATTAAAAGATGTTACCTTAGCAATTCAAGCTAATTGATGAACAAATTGAAATGAACATAAACATTGCAATCATAGGATGTTGCAACTATGAGGATGAAGAATTCATCCCTTCAGAGGAAATCAAGCACTTTATTGCCTACCTTTTTCATGATCCCAGTTTTCCTCTTGGAGAATGTGGTGTATCTTCTTAGTTTGTTGTCAATATACTCCATCTTTATCTTCACACGTCCTTTTGTTTTCTTTGCAGTCTGTGGAGACAGCCCTGCGGCTGGCTGTCCCGATTGTGATGGAGACGACAGTGCTTGAGGTAAGGAAAATTTTCCAGACATTGAGCCATCTTCGTCAGATGTCATTTCATTGTGCCTCGCATCTGAGAAAGATGCTACATGGTGGGCTTTCCCGAGAAGCTCACCATGTTGATCATAATCATGCTGATGCTGATGCTGGTGAAGAGATTGAGCTTGAGCATCACCAATGTTTTGTAGTGGGTCAGCAGAGTGCATTTCACTGTATGTTGGCACAGCGACTCCACTGGCAGACGTTGCCTGGGAAAGCCGTAAAAGGCCTGGCACACAAGCAGCACTGGAAGAGGGTAAATTTCCACAGTAAGCATCAATTCCTCCAACACCACGGAACGACCCAAATTGTTCGTGCTGTGCTCCAGGGTCTTGTCCAGCGTCACTCCCGGGATTTTCCATCTCACTCACAATTGTCAGCGCAATTAATAAAATCACTGTCGTTTCTAACACCTACTATTCCTATCCACATTACGAATGAGCCGCCATTTAGCAAAATAAACAACCCCCAATTTCGCACATGTCCACGCCCTGCCCACTTTTACAAATAAGGAAAGTGCGGAGTCAGCGCGGAAGATTTCTCAGCACGAATAAATATAGTTCCTAGTTTGAAAACAGATTTACAGAGCTCACAGCTCTAAAAATCAGATCAAAACTATCTGCATTATCGATAAGGTATTTTCAATGAGGTCCTGAGCTTTTTTTACTTTCTGTTGCAGAAATAGTGTGCATCATTTTCCAAGAAAGTTACCGCCCCTATGACGTAATGACGCAAAACCTAGGCCACGCCCACGAACAGCTGATCTGGCGATCCCTGCCATCTGGAAGAACCAGCACAAGCCTGAAATGAAGCGGAGATCCGCGACGCTTTTGTATCACTATACAACAAATTTGTTGATTAAACAAATTCATTCAGGCTGTATGACCAGGCCCATTGTTGCTGGAACTGGCCAGACACGTCTGCTTTACCACACAAGTAGTCTCTAGCGACATCTATAGGCTAATTTCGAGCGCCACCTGCAACAGAGATAGGCACCTATGTACGGCCTTTGGCAATAGGATTTGCCAAGTCTTTGTAACATGCCACGGGCCCCAACGGGCTTATTCCACTGAAGAATCGACCTTCCATTAGCCATCGATAACGTTGTTAAAACAGACTAGATTGTTGTTTGAACTCAAGTGAGAGGATGCATCCCATTACCCTTTTCATGGTAGCGTCTTGCCTTATAGTTAGAGTATAGTTACCTTATCATTTCCAGTTATCCGTTTTGTTGAGTGTTCACGAAAAGGACACAGCGAACCGCCTACGAGAGTCCCTTGTATGACACGTTCTCCAGAGCCTTTGACTCAGTATGGTAACAGCAAGTACTAAGTAGGGCTGGATCTCGACTCCATTCCTCCCATCGAGCTCACTAAACAAAGCCGAATGTTTATACAACACTGTTGGCTTTATTAAATGTAGAAACACTTACTTATTTACGTCTGCACACGCATGATCGAGTGACCACAAGCTTGCACATTGCACAATTCACTGTAGCATGCGACAAACCCTATACAGGCAGCAGCACGAACCCCTGTGTGCCGAGAGAACGGCTCGATTCGGTCTGCAGCTCTCCTGCCGACTCCGTGCGAAGGCATTCGCCGAATTGCTTTGGGCAGCAGTGGGTGACAAGGACACACTAAAGCCCCCTAACCAGGGCTGCGGAGTCGGAGTCGGAGTCGGTCGGAGTCGAAGTTGTGACCGGAGTCGGAGTCGGAGTCGATTTTAGAAACCCGAGCCGGAGTCGGAGTCGGAGTCACCGAAAATCTGTCGACTCCGCAGCCCTGCTAGGTCTGCGGAGTCTGTCGGAGTCGGGAGTTGGAGTCGGTCGGAGTCGACAATTCTGCCCGGAGTCGGAGTCGGAGTCGGAGCTGGTTTTTTAAAGCCGGAGTCGGAGTCGCCGAAAATCCATCGACTCCGCAGCCCTGCCCCTAACTTACACCATGCACACCGCGAAATAACTCGCTTTTGAAGCATACACCACACAAGCCGACAAAGGCAGTTGTATCAAACGGCTTTAGAAGGCCAGCAACGTTGCATAGCTTAAAGTGACAAGCTATAGCTTCATAAAACCGTTAATTGCGATATGAGCTAGCCACTGCACAACTTCTATGAGAAACCACACTGCAGGTCACTTGAAGAACAGCTTCACACCCAAGCAAACATGTCATTATTTCTTAACAGCTTACACTGCTTATGCTAGTCATGACTTCGATATAGAAAACCTTGTTCGATAATCTGACGTCATGAAAATGAGGATACTCCATTCGCTAAGAAAAAAATATTATTTTAGCTAGGATTTTGCGTAAATAAAGCTCTGCTATTGCCAGCATACGAGAAGGCGATAAATAGAGCGCAAGGCAGAGCCATTCATGCTAATTTAGGCGGACTTTTAAGAAAATTTAGAAACATCTACCTGAACGTTTACATCTCAGTCGATATCTCGATATCTCTGCAATTACAAAACTATTACGAGGTGAGCCTGGCCTTTGAGGCATCCTTTCTTTTGAGCCATAGTTAGATGCGTTGTACATAACGCTGCATCCTAGCAGAGCATTGCCACGCAGCATACACACGTCGTTCACCGATAACCAGTTAGCGTTACCCAGAAACACTGCGACGATGAGCACCTAAGCTTTGCATAGTAAACTATCACATATTATCACCACACACAAAATACGCTATAATTAAGTACGCTATATACGCTATAATTAAGTAGCATCACAACCTAGTTAACTAGTCTTTTACACAGGTCGCATGATTTTTCACAGAAAACTTATCGTTACAAAATGACACTGATCTGAGACAACCATGACACTCACAAAGACCCACACGAAGGCAAACTCCATTGGCTGCGGTACAAAGTCGCTGGCACGGCGGACGGCGGGACTTCTGATTGGCCGAAAACTGAGGCACCGACAGCGGGCGTCGCCGATTCGCCGACGCGTCGGACAGCTTGGCTTCTGATTGGCTGGCTCTCGAGGCAGGGAAGGCCACCGATGGTCACGGAGAGGCGTTAGGGATCTGCGGAACACGGCGGATAGTCAGCATCGCAGCCAGCCTTGGTCGGAGCAATGGACGGAGACAGTGTCAGAGTCGGAAACATTTACTAGCAGAGTGAGAGTAAGTAGTTATCATAGGACAGGAGAAGACATAGGCTTTCTCAGGGGTAGGGAAAAAGTCAGAAGAATGACGAGATAAACAAAAACGGAGACAGCGTCTAGTAATGATGAAACTCGACAATTCGGCTAGCCCAAAGTCCCAATGTTAATTCACACACTCACACGTACAAGCACATGTCCTGCCTATTGCCTGAAATGATCCGAATCCCAATATCTCTTACCGTCCATAGGAAGACCGTCGCAGCCGGCGGCCGGTGCGTTTCGACTACAGATACGTGGCGACGCCCAGGTACTCCGCGACGAAGACACGCAGTATCCGGTTGATGCGCTGCACCGTGGGGAAATCAATGGCCCAGCCGTTATCGGAGTCGTCGTGCCACACCTTCGGGAACGGGTGCGGTATCAGGTGGAGAATCTTCACACCTGTGGGAGAAGGGCGATGTCAGGACTGGAGAACCTTTACACCTGTGGAAGAGTGGGCGGGGTAGGGTGAAGAGCCCTCACAGACATCAGGCGGAACACCTTCACAGGCATCAGCTGGGAGAGTCCTCACAGGTTCCATGCGGAGACCTTTCACAGGTGGCGACCTTGGCCTTAAGAGGTAGCAGGAGGGACGGGACCGAAAGTGATGCGAGCAGGAAAATGCCAGAGCATGATCTGTGATGAACGCAATACGGATCATAACAATCATTCTGGACCAGAAAACGAATATGTTCTATCAAATCCCGATATTCCAGCTTATAATGATTTCCATTTTTATCAAAACTTTCTTCCCGAGAATCAATAAAAATAATACCAAATAACTACGAGGTTGATTTGCTTGTTGCTTTTGCAAATTGCTTATTACAATGACCAACTCAATGGCGGTTCCCTGTTAACTGACCGCGCCGCAGGAAGGGCAGGTGGTCGTCGCTGATGCGCGGCGCTCCCCAGGCGCCCCAGCTGTCCCGGTAGTGGAACACGGACGGCAGGTCGGGCAGCAGGCCGGCCTTGGCGAGCCGCTCTTCGGCCGAGACCAGGTGTCGGAACTCGTCCCGAGAGCTCGGCTGGTAGTTACTGATGGACGGCAGCGCGGCACCCAGCAGGTCCAGCAGCACAAAACAGTCCTGAGGCACACACACGGGGGCTGGTCAGACGACAGTGGCTCTTACAGTCCTGTGATGCGCACACAGAAACACCCCGCGGGCGGTCAGACGGAAGCGGAATAAAAAATATGCTAGCTTAAAAATATATCAGCAGCGGGCATGTCAGCTGCATAATATCGTTATCATTTTTTATCCTGATGCGGGTTGTAAATGCACACTAATAATGCTCGTCAAAACTACGCATACGGGCTCGTAAAATTGGAGAGATGTGGCAGGACGCGGCGATGCAGCCTTCTGTGCGGTAAGCCTTTGCTAAGCATTCGCTAAACATTTGCTAGGCGGTTGGTTCTTTGCGGTCGGCCTCACTCTGTGGTCAGCCTTACTATGCGGTCGGCCTCACTCTGTGGTCGGCCTTACTATGCAGTCGGCCTTACTATGCGGTCGATGTCGTTGATGACGGTGTCCCCGGTCCGCTGGTAGACACTCTGTGCCAGCTCCGAGGCCAGGTGACGCGCGCCGTATATCGAGTCGGTGTCGGTCCAGTGGACAATGGCCTCCTCACCGTCCAGGAAGAGCAACTGCAGCGTCAGCTCCGACCGGCCCTGAGCAGAGAGACGCAGACAGTGTCAGCTCCGACCGGCCCAGGACATATACAAAGACATAGACAACTCAGACCGGCCCTAAGTACAGACACAAAGTCAGTATCACCGGCAATGAGACACCCGGGGCTCAATCTTATAAACGCCGTGGAATGGATATGGCAGCACTGGCTGAAGTTAAGCTGCAGAAAGCGGCTATTAAATGCAGGATGGTTTTCACGCATTTCAGTCCATCGTATGCTGACAGTCCAAACTCCAAAGAATCATTTTGTCGACTCGGATTACTGTTTGTCGGCACTGTTATCACTGTCAATGTTACCAAATGCCGTAAATAGAATAGTTCTTATAAAATGCCGTACTACAGTCAAGTAACAATACAGTGGAAGGTCAGAGCGACACTAAGGAGAGTCACGATAGTACTGCCAGTAATGAAAGAGCACCAGGAGTGCCAGTTCCAAACGGCCCTGAATGCGGGCACACATGACAGTTTCGTCATCGATTGACCCGCTAGCGAACCAGACGGCTCGCTGACTACCCTACTGAATGGCTGACACTCGACTAACCTTCATAGGGTCCAGGTAGCGATTTGTAATCAGCGTGGCCATGTAGAGCATCATGGCGCACGGCACGGCAGAATCGGTGGCCGCTGCAACGGAGAGAAAGGTCTGTTAGAACGTTAAAACGGGGATAACACCTAATATAAAATAAACACGACCAACGCAGGCATTTGTCAGTTGTTACTGTTTAGGTTTAGCAGTGTGTACAAAACAGGAGAGGTATGTACTTAGCCAACACAGGTCTTTCCACTGAACCGATTTAAGTTTCAGCCTCAGAAATCCAGCCTCAGCAAAAGACCGCTGACATGGTCCGTTGTCGCGACCTTCCACCAGGCATCGTCCCTTTTCATCGCCAATTGGGCTGCAGCTACACCCCCCACCTCCACCCCCCCCCCCCAATAGCCTAATTCTTTTCCCCACCACAATACAGTCCCTGTTTCGTCTCATTGTCCCTGCCGCTCACCCCCGACCCCGCGGTGTCACTGACCGATGAACGTGTCCCGTCCGTAGATGGAGTCGTAGTGACAGGCCAGCACCAGCCGGCGCGGCGCCGACGGGTCGTGCGTGGCCACCACGTTGGTGAAGTTCATCGCTCCTCGCGGCGTCTTCATCTCAAACGGCCGGTCCTCGTCCACCGTCCAGCCGAGGGTGGTCAGCGTGTGTATTATGTGCTGCGGGGTGTCACAGCTGAGTCACTGTCAGACTTGGACCTCTATGCAGCGTTTCTGACATGAGACAAGTTACGCTGCAAGCAATAAATGCAATTACGTAATGGGCTGCACTAGCTACTAAATCATCCAATTATCTGTGCAAGCTTGGTGACTGCTAAGCACAACTGAAGCAGCTCAAGACTGCTCACCTGTCTGACATCTTCATGCTGTTTTGTGCCTATGTACCGAGCCACCATCATGGGATCCAGCAGGCCAGACCACAGCTGGGCCTCCAGGTCCAATTGCTGATCAAGCAGAGCCACGGTCTCCAGCAGACCAAACTTCTCTAGATGCTGTGGCTGGTACTTGTCCTACAGGAAACAAAATACTGTGAGCAAACCATAACTGATTATGTTAAGAAGCTAGCAGTACTGGAACTGGGGGCTGACTGAGGGCTGGATACTTGGAACCATAAAATATAAATGACCATAATATGATTGAATTGATAACATATGGGTGACATCTTACTTGATTACAACTGTGTTGGGTATGTGCCATATTTAGCTAAGATCTGTTGATGGAGCCTAAGACTGAACCAGGCACCCTGCCATCACATGACTTTCAGGTCATGATACTAGGACTACAAGGCAGGGTCCCCAGCAGCCTTCCTACAGCCTTCTTGAGGCTTGAAGTTCAATGGCGTATTCTAGGTATCTGAAATTGAAAGAAAACCTTTAATATTATTGTGTGCCCAGCAATCTATGATTATGGACACATTTTGATGAAACTAGACTTGACTTGTTGAAACCAAGGCCCTAGTTGAAACTAGCAGACACTGGACTGATAACTGATGACAGGGTGTTGTTCAGTAGGTAGTAACTTAGGTACCTGTTTGAGTTTCCCAGTGGAACTGGCTGAGCTGGCTGACACAATGTAGGTGCTCAGCAGGCACCAGAAGGTGCATACTGTCAGCAGAGCTGGAGCCATCAGTGTACCCATCCTGCAGCTGAAACAGCAAAAAAAAAAAAAAACAATGCTGATGCAAAAGTTCTGCACAGTTGGCAAATCTCACACACATGAATACCACTTCTTCCTTGTGTGTAATGGATTAGGATATGAAACCTTGTGCTCTGAGATCAGAGCAGCACGTATACAACACATGTGCACAAGCTTTGAGCCTTTGACAATAAAAGATCAGGCTGTGTGACCCCATAATATGGATGGCAGACTCCAGAACCAGACTGAGGGTCAAGCAACTGAAGCAAGTGACCCAGCCACTTGTGGCCTGATGAGATTGTGGTGTCAGAGGACAAAAGACTAAGTGACCCACCCATTTTCATTTATGTACAGATGCAGCAGCTCACAGCTGCATCACGCATGCGGCAGCGGGCATGAGCCCTATTTTGGGACACAACACTTTGCTCCACTACCAGGTACTTGTGCTTCAGTTCCCATGGAAGCATTGGCAAGCTTGGCAATTTGGCTTAGGTTGACATTGGCTACCTAAAATTGGACATTGGTTGACAATTGATATTGTAATGGAAGCCAATGACTTAGGTTGTCATTGGCTTCCATTAAAGCCAATGTCAATGGTTTATATAAGCCTTGGTCAACTCAATACCCTGAGGCAGATAGTTGCATGCAATTGCATGTTTTATGCTATGATCCAACTAGTAAAAAATGTGTGAAAAGGATGTGAAATTGAAGAAATATACCATACAGGTCATGAGTGTCATTCAGGCCTAAAAAGATACAACTTAACTGTTGTGGAGGAGGATTTAATTGATAAAAGATATTAATGCAATTGGCAAGGTGATCATCCCTACAAGTTTTGGAACTCTCTTAGCAGACGTCACCCGAGCTGCCATATCAATATCTACGTCTCATGTGCGCAACAATTGTCTTTTCACAGTTAAATATATAACAAAACATAATCTAACTTATAATTTATCAATCAAATACCAATCAAATGCTTTCCTTGCAGTACGAGTCAACCTAGAATCATTGAGCAAATTTTCTAAGAAAATAAAAAACATCCAAGGAAAATAATCTAAGAGCCCTTACACTACAAAATTTACTCAATCATACCCTAAGTGTGCAAGACAAAACAGAAAAACCAAAAATAATAATTTGACTCAGAGTTTCTGTGACAGTGAAGTGTGACCAACCCACTCAAGTCAAAGTCAGTAGGCGGAACTATGGTCAAGCGTACCCATTTTCGGGAACGCATTTTCGTTCCCATATTTGGGAACGATAAACCCAAATATGGGAACGCCATGTAGGCATTATTTAAAACAAGAAAAAGAACCGTTAAATGACGTCCAAAAAATATAAAACGATCGTGAACCACCTGATATTTGTCTCAATATTGTTGGGAAAGAGTTTGATATTGTAAGGCCCATCGTAGTTTCAAATCGTTCCCCTATTTCTAAAGCAGTCCATCATCCGGGCCGCGAGCCCAAATTTGGGAACGCTCTCGTACACTGGCGCTGCAAGCGTTCCTTATTATGGGAACGGCGTACCCAAAATTGGGAACGATTTCACCGACGCCTTTCAGGGGCTCTTTTCATTAACAAGCATCACGTCCAACGCCGCAAATTATTGTTAACGCAACAATCATCAGATGACCCTTCCGGCAAGACCGTCGCATGTTTCGCCCGGTCTTCTGCGCTTTTATTCCCGTCGATCTCGCAGCGGGCACGCCCCCCTCTGCAGGATTACGTAATTCACAACGCTCAGCGATGTTCAACAAGGTCTTCCATGCCTATATCCACCGTCCGCGCCGAGGGTGGAGACATGTCAAGCACCTGTCTGTTTATCACCGATAGTTGACGAGCACAAGGAAGTATCCAAAAATGGGAACGCTGAAGATGTTACACCCTCAAAACACCTAGTCCCAATGAAAATCTAGTTTTTTCCTTTCTTGATGAGTGTAAGTGGCAAAAGTCCTGGTAGGATGGGCACGAGGAATGATCGAAATCAGCATAAAAATTATAAATAAGCCACACAGAGCGACCTATATAAGAGAAATTCCCCCAAAACGATCACGCTTAGAAACACGGAAGACAAAAACCACGCTCATGACGCTCCTTATAAAACAACTCTAAACAGCTAGCATCCAAATAAAATATGTCTATCTGGGATGATATAATACAGCTGAATAATTTTAAACCACTGAAACTGAGTTTACAACAGTAGTTCGGTAAAATCACTGACGTTCCATGCGGTCGTGCGCCCCGACACCAATGTCACCAATATTACCCCCGGACTGTCCGCGTGTTCGCTTGCATATGTCAGCATCTGGTGTCGCTAGTATGAAACTTCATAACCAGGCGAAAATTATTATACTTGACCTCAAAATGTAAAAAACGCTTCATTTTCCTTAAAATTGCAAGTTAAATGTAGTATAACCCATGTTTTCACCATTCCGTCATTTCAAAAAATCATTAAAAATATCATTCGACGGTCAATTTCCTTGTGCAACGGTCAGATTAAAGATAATTTTATAGAGACTTAGTAGATACTTAAATTAGCGTGCACTTTTTTGATACGTGATGCACTTATGAGTTTTAGTGGGCGAACGGCCGAAAAATTACCTTCCGTTCCCATAAATGGGAACGCCCGTTCCCATATTTGGGAACTCCGTTCCCAAAAATGGGAACGTTCCTATATTTGGGTACTCATGACCATAGTTCCGCCTACTGAAGTTGGATATTTTTGTCAACACATGCCAGGATGAGGATACAATGACAATGGAGAATAATGCGAGAAGGATACAAATGGGATGATTATGTAACCTTTCCTGCCTCAAACAATTAAATTCCCCATGAAAGAACTCACATAAAATGACAAAATGTGGAGACAACAAAATTACCACCCACCTAACTAAGGGCCTGTTCCAGCGCCTCCAGAAGAAATTCTTGACTGGAGGCTCTACCAGAGGTTTTACTGGAGGCGCTGGAACGCAATCTGGAGATTTCTGGAGATTGGCGTCATAGATACCAAAAGAATGACGTTTGTTCTCTCTTGAAACGCAAAATTTGTTTTCAATTTTAGTTAAAAAGATAAATAAAATTATAGCAATGTAATTTTCTTTACATTCAAGTTGTAAAATAATCAGTCAAATGTCCTTTGTCTACATTCGTGATTGTCACATGTGCACCATAATTGTAGACCAGAGCCTCCAGAGAAATTTGGACCTCTCAACTCTCTGGAGGCTACTGGAGGTTTCTGGAGCTTTGGCGAGAGCTTTCTGGAGCTTTCTGGAGGCGCTGGAACGCTCTCTGGAGGATTCTAGAGCTTTCTGGAGCTTTCTGGAGGTTTCTGGAGGCGCTGGAACAGGCCCTTAGTGCTAATATACGGCGGCGCAATCGGCGCCTTCGTCCCATTCCCCAGTGACGTCATTTGACCCCATCCACTCTCCAGGCCAACTACGTCATGTGAATAAATGACTTCCTATCCCCTAGCGCAAATGCTGTCCGATCATAGAAATAAAGACGTGTCCGATTATTCCAAATTATTATCCCCTAACAAAAGCTCTTAAACTTCTACCAAACTTATCACGCCAATAACCTACGTTTTGCAGTTATTCATCTTCGTGTTATGGGGACAAGAGCCAAGAGGCACGATGTCCTGTAGGGCCCGTTCCCGTCGATTTCCACTCTGTATTCAGTCTGCTACAGGAGTGGAGCACTGCGTACCAGACCACTGATCGACTCCCATCGCGCATCCAGCCTTCTATCGAATAACTTTGACGACTCATCAGTCAGGAATTCAGCATTGTCTTTATATATTTGCAAGTTAACAGTGCAAGATGTGGCAGCGCTAGGGAGCTCTAGAAACACAAATACAAGATAAACACAAACATAAACAAATATCCACATGAGCAGCGTGTGTGTACACTGTGTTTGGCACGTCACTGATATTATAAACGTATGAATAAATGTATGAAAACGTATGACCTACGATAGGACATCGGAAGGCACTTTCTGTCGTTAATGCCTCCACGGTCGCCAGTCGCCGCTGGCTTGCATCCGCAAGTCGCACATAAAAGTCGCCATGAGATTTTGTTCGTACACGGTGGACGGCAAAGGTCCATCGACTAAGCACTCAGTTGTTGGTCCACAGCCATAATGGCATAATATTGCTGGTCCACGAAGTGCATCCACTCGGGCTGGATTATGCTGGTCCAGGGAACGCACACACAGGGGCAGAATGGTGCTGGTTCTTGGAAGACAGTCACTGGTCCCACTACCGCATCGATAGGTTCAACGGCTCTGAAACACAAGATAGCAACCGGTGAGCATGGCGGGAATGCAGGGAGGACGGGAGTTGACTGGTGACACTTTCCCTTAATTTAGAAGTTGGCAAGAAACTGCGAAGAATGTGACCAACTAAGACACGAGCGGTTTCATGGGCGTAACGCTAAAAGACCTGGGCCATAAATCCCGTGTCCCCACCCGCCCATGTGGGACAGACACGACACACACCACTTGAGTAAAGGACGTTTTTCCAGAGTAAATATAAACAGACCTCGCGACCAGCGGCGTAATCTGCCCATACCGCTATTTGATACCCCACTGCATTGATCCAGCACTCACCGTCCATAGTTCTGCTGTAGTCCAGCGCGGCGGAGCACCGGCCGGAGGCCGCGTGCGCCGGCCTCGGCCGCCCGGTCACAGACCGAAGGGCTCCTCCTCCTCCGGCCAGCCGCGCCAGCAGTAGCGGTGAGGGCGGCGCGGCGCTCGGCTCGGTCAGGTGGTACACAGCGCTGTAATCGGGCCGCGCCGGCCGGGGCGGCGGTGTTGGCAGTGTGGGCGCTGCGAGCCGCTCGGGACCCGCCAGCAGCGCGTCGATACCGTGCACCAGGGGGTGCCGGTCCGGCGCTGGGGCGGGACCCGACTGCGCGCCGCGCTGGGAGAGCCGGCGGACGGCGTCGGCCAGCCGGTCAGTACGCCGGGCGGGGCAGCCGGCCGGGGTGGGAGTGACAGCCGGAGGGGCGGCGCCGCACGGTCGGCGGCCCAGCCGGCGCGGGCAGACGGCTGGCGGACCGTCACCGGCCGGACGCCGGCTCCTTCGGCCACTGAACAGCGCGCCCGCCGGCTTCCTGCCCGGGTTCGTCTGCTTCCGTCCGGCCAGCCGCCACCGGCGCGGTGAGCGGAGCACCGCTGGGGGAAAACGGAGCATGTGAGAGGGACGGAGAACCGCTGAGGGTAAACATAGCACTGCTAAGAGGGAAATAGGACAACTCAGTAACAGGGTAAATAGATCACCGTGAGCGGAAATGAGCACCGTGAGGGGAACACAGCACCGGGAGGGAACGGAGCAGGGGGAAAACTGGCTATGGAATACTGCTGAGAGGGGTGCGATGTACCGTGAGGGGGGCTAGAGCACCGTGAGAAGGGACGGGACACTGCTGAGGGGAAACAGAGCTGCTGGGGTAGCAGGTAGCGACAATGTAACGGTAATAACGTTTCATTCTCCAAAACGGAACGGCAGTCGTTACAATGCTTCAAACGAGACACGTCCACGACAAACGGTGTATGTAAACGGATATCATAACAAAATTGATTGACGAATATAGTTATGTAGAGATAGTCCATTGTGCAGCATTGCCAGATAAAATTTTTCTTCTCTAGAGGCCGCAGAATGAAAGGCATCGTGCGTGTCCCGTCGTACTTACCCTGGAAACCGTGGACCTCGCCGAGCGGGGCCGTTACCGTCACCGTAGGCCAGGCCGGCTTTTTGGCCAGCGCCACCCAGCGGGCGGGCCGCTCCCTCAGCTGCGCCGGCGAGTGGGACAGCTCCAGCAACACGTCACCGTCTGGGGGAGGGGGAGTCAGAGGTGAGGTTGGGGAGAGGTAAGGTCGCAGTCCGGTTGACAGGACACAACTGACCGGGACCTGTCGGTATAGCGCGGTGAGACATGGACTATGGTCACAGCCACCCGCACAACCCGTCATGAATGTCCTATATGTGTGGTCTAATGAATAAGGCGTCTGTCTCGTAATCCGGTGGCGGCGAATTAAAAGCCAGAGCAGCCACGTCGTTTGAACCACGTTCCTATACATATTCAGCCAGCTGGCAACTGGCGAGAGAGGGCAACACTAGACCCGGGAAAGCCTTGTCGCCATTTGCTGGCAGTACATTCAACTGTTGATCAAAATTATCACCCTGAACCGGCACAGGCAAGGTAGGGTGATGGGTCCATGGTGGAAGTGCCATTCGCAACATGCACCACTTAGCATGGCACCTGGGCCCAGTGCCAACAATTCATCAATTCAGACTAAGGCTATTAAGAAAAAAATGTTACACAATCTAATATCAGTGCTGTGTGCTAAACCTACTTATCAGTTGAATTGAGCTTCTATAAATCGAGAAAATACAGGTAAATCACCAGTAGCTCCAGCTTCACAGAGGCACTCAACCAATCTAAAAAATTGTCATTTGCCCTAACAACGAGTGCCAGCAAGTATTGTGTGTCATCCAGCAACTTTGTGTGCTGGGGATAGCAGCACAGGCACAGCAGCTGATTGATATACATACCACGGCCAAAGAAGGAGAGTCGGCCACCAGATGCCTTTTGAGCCAGAGGAGGTACGTCTGGCTCCGAGAGAGGAGGGGAGAGAGCAGCAAAAGGTGCAGGCAGTAGTGGTGTCTGGGGCCGCGCCGGCCCTGCTGGCGCCGTCATGATGGTTGCGTCCACAGCATCTACCAGAAACAAAGAAGCTGCTTTGGGTCACCGAAGAAACTGGTAAGTACAACAAAAAAATATTTGTTCCTCTCAAACATAGAAATGGCAGTTAGCAGTTATAGCCACTTAAACTCAAAAACTTGTCAAGTCCAAACCAAAATATCTACAAAGCAATAGGTAGTGAGCAATAATTCTAGCTTATCAGAATGAAAGACAAATGAACCTTTTTACCTATGTATATCAACAAGTACCTGAATAAGCAAATCAAAAAAGCCTGTCTCGACTCTCACTGGGGTGATGCATCCTTTGACATCCCAGTCCAAGATTCGGACGCCGGTGAAAACAGAGCGCGGGAGGGCTTATTAGTCACGTAACATTTGGAGATTCTCCCCGTGGGCCTTCTACATGCTACACGTCACCTGTAAATTTCACGAACCTTGATCAAATCACCCCAGGCGCCCTGTTTTCACCGTCGTCCCAAGATTCATGACTGTCTCTAGTAAGGAGCTCGATGAGATCAGATCCCTATAGGCCTAATAGGCCTCGAAATTCTGTATTGGTAAGGTAAGGTAAGGTAAAAAACCAGCACTAGCCATCATCATGACACAGGTAAAAATACGCACTGGTGCCTGGCGCCTTGCGGCAGGTGGCGGTGTTTGTCCTTTCCCTTTGCATTGGCTCAAGGGACAACTTTAAAGCCTATCAAACAATTTTGAACAAATAAATAAATTAAAGCAGTGCAGTATTTAATGCAACAAGCTATAAACAGGAAGATGTGTAGTTATCCCATGACAACGGCAATTGTGATGCTGACAAATGGCTATGCTGATGTTGGGGACGAAGTGGAAGTTACAAGTAGGTTATAGGCACCTTCCAATAAAAATATGAAATACCTACCTATCAAAACAACGGCATCATTTTTCAAAATGTATAACAATTCAATTACCTAGTACTTTATTCCAACCAAATTCCAACAAATTCCAACAATACAGCGACCCCGAACCGAGAACACTTGTAGCCCACGAAGGCAACAGAAAATGTTCATCAATAACGGCGATCGTCGCTAGCGCGCGAGAAACGCAGCAACAGCACAATATTTACCAATCAAATCGCTTACTTTTGTACTGCTTTGGGAATCTCCACATATATTAGGAAGCTAGTACAGAAATAATGAAATTGGTGCGCAGGCTTCGCTACTAACTCGTTGCAAGTAAATTGCTATGTAGTCACGGTAGTCAATGCAGTCAGAAATTTTGCCACCTCCCTGCAACCTTTTCCTCCGTATTTGTTCCTACGATAACTTAAAAAAAAAAAACAGGCATGGGCAGCCCCTCAGTCTCAGTGGTGCTCCGTACCATAAGGCGGACAGCGGACTACACATTTCGGTCTAGATTCTAGACCGTTCTAAGGTGTAACGCCTCAGTGTCAATTATACCTATGTGCCGCTATAATCTATATCGATGACATTTCATTCAATTCTCCCGAACCGGTAAGTGTATTTATTAACCAACTTGATTAACACACGTGAGCAATGAGTACATGTGAAGTTGATATCACTCGCGCCTCTCGCCAGTGCAGTGTGGACCCATTGGGTTTGGTAAAATTTTCCAGCGAAATTCTAACATGCGCTAATACACGGGAGCGGCAAAACTGGGCTACATGCTACCGCCAAGAGACCGCCGATACACAGGGCGGCCAATAAATACACACAACGCAATACACCAAGATATCACACAGTATAGGGCTCGCTAAGACACCCACCCGCCTGTTCACAAATAACTCGGCACCGGACCATCACCGGTGACCGCACCGCTAGTCAGGGCGGGACGCGCCGCTCCCGAGGACCAGAACGGCGATAGGAACGGAGACAGCAGGGTGGCCAGTGGACGCCGTGTTCCCTCCAACACTCTGAAGACACTGAACACACAGTGACACCGGCGCTGGCGGACTGAGCCGCTACAGGTACCGAAAAGTGAACACTCAGCGTGAACCACGACAGCCCAGTTGCATCGGTCGGTTTCTCGGAGATCCGTGCGCCCCGGTGCAGGCTTGTAGGATCCATTCACTCCGCCGTATCGCCAAGGAGTTCTAGTTTCTATCACTCTGGCCACCGCCAGGCTTTCAGACGACTTCACGTCCCTCACGTATCCCTCGGAGCGTCGTCTTTGGCGAGGGTAATGCCTGGCCGACCCGTCACCGGGCCGCACCCGTCTCTAATACTACGGTCCGACCCACTCGCTCACTGCGCGACCGGCACCGGCCGGCTCTGTTACTGATCACAGGGCGCCAGGGCGCCGGGGCGCCGTTTGGGCGCCGGGGCGCCGGGGCGCCGTTTGGGCGCCGGGGCGCCGGGGCGCAGTTTGGGCGCCGTTATGCCACCACCAGTGGCTCGTCGTCGGAGAAGCCGCGGATCACCGGTGCCTCGTCATCCTCTGTCGGCGGAAAGTTGGAGGGCGTTAGACGCGTCAAGGACAAACACAACCACACGATGACAGATGGCCACACTATCAGGCCTAACACTCCGGCAACAATCTCAGTAATAGGTCGGTGAAAAGAACTTTAGGGTGCAAATGGCGAGCAGTCAAAAAGACAGTGCAGCTCAGCACTTCTGTTTGACTGGATGTGTTGCACTGTTGTACGAGCTCCAGTCAGCACAAAATATCGAGGCGCATTGTGAACACGAGATCACTAGAATGCAGCGTCAGTTGAGAGCTGGAAACCCACATTGACTGACAACAGGACCGTTACCGTGTTCAGCAACAATACGGTCTGAGCACCCTGGCTGGGGCAACGATAAAACAAATCCAAACCATCGCAGTACGGCATGACGAGACAAAAAAGCATATCGGCCCAGGCAACATCCCAGACAGAAGCAATGACAAAAAAAACTGACGCTACACCTGGACAGCATCGATAAAACCAGCGCAGGGCGCCAGTCTCACATTATAGCGACTCTCACCTAGTCCGTCGCCGTTGGTGAATCGCGCCGCCGTCGGCCGAGCACTATAGTGGGTCGACACAAACGCCAGGAACCGATGCCGCAGCCGGCGGTGGCGGTACACGAACACGACCACAGCGGTCGTGAGCAGCACCAGCAGCAGCAGCACCGGCACCAGGACGGACACCAGGTGGTGCTTCTTGATCACCACAGAGTCCTCGCCTGGCGGGGAGAGCGGCGGCACCAGTCAGTGGAGGGCGGGAGAGGGCTCGGTCGAATAGCAGGACACATGGCAGCACTGCCGTCAGTGGCGAGCGAAGAATCATGGTGTCACGTAGGCTCGGACATCCAAGGCATACCTGGCTCCCGCTTGATTGGCTCTGGCCCAATAGTAACGCCTTTTGTTATGGACAATTCAACTGCATTTCGCGTTAAAATAAACATTTGGAGACTGTAGGTCAGGGTAGGAACACTGTTATGCTCCATGGTGTATTAACTACATCTCACTGACTCAGGGCCACTGACTACATCTCACCTGGCGGCGTGTGGAAGCTCTCCACCTCTGATGGCAGCGAGCGGTGGCCGTCACTGGTCACCAGCTGCACGGCCGCGTAATACGTGGTGTCCGGCTGCAGCGTGTGTGTCACGAAGCGGCTCTCGCGCACCGTCTTACCAGTGCTGTTCCACACGGCGGCCACAGAAGGCGCCACGAACACCTCGTAAGAGTACCTGGTGAAGAGAAGACAGAGGTCAGGGGACAGCCAGAGAACGGTGAAAAGTCACAAACACCTCGTAAGAGTATCTGATGGAGGGACAGGTCATTGGACAGTCAGAGGGACGGAGAGGCACAAATACCTCTTGTACCACCTGATGGATAAAAGACACAGGTTAGGGGATAGAATACAGTCAAGACAGCGGCGGATCGCCAGCTCGCTCCACATCAGTCACCGCTTCCGTCCCTATCGGCCTACCGACACTCACTTGACATAATCCATATCCGCCGGCAGCCGGCGCTCCTTCCAGTAGAGTGTGACGGTGCCGTTTCGCTCAATGATCGGCCTGAGCTGGTGGGGCCCGGGAATGGGCGGTGCCGCGTATATCACGGGTGGCGCCGGCACAGCGTCTGTCGCCGTCGTCCGTACCGACACCGAGTAGCGAGCGCCATACGAGGCCGGCAGGTCGTGCCACAGCAGGTGCTCAGACGTGGTGGGACGCACAGAGCGCTCCACCTTGCCCGGGCCGCCCAGCTCCGTGGCGGTGATCTGCCGAGCGTCAGTCGCACCGGGTCAGGTCAGGTCAGGTAAGGCCAAGTTAAGTAATTGTGCAGCATAGACAAATTGAGCATACATCGTGCAATAGTATGTCAACACCAACCTTTCATTATCTGACCAAAAGGAAACAATCTAATGGACCATAAGTAATTCATTGAACAAGTCGAACAAGTAAAGTGACGACAGCTACAAAACAGCACCAAGATAGGCGAGTCCCCGCCGCCCATCCCCCCGGCCTGTCTCCTCCCCTCTGCTGCCCATCTCTTGGCATACCCCCGCACCACATTTCCCCTCCCTCCTGCCCCTGCCGCCGACCACTCACGTTGTATCCGACGGGCCGCTCCACCACTGAACAGCTGGCCTCCCACCTGACACGCATCATGAGCGTCAGACCGCGCTGCGTCTGTACGGTGACGTTTTTGGGCGGCGCGTGCGCGTCAAACTTGGTACGGACGCGACCGATCTCTGAGGGCAGCCCGGTACCGTCCGGTCCGACCACAGCTACCAGTAGCAGGTAGTCCTCGCAGGCCATCAGACCCGTTGCCTGGGGGCAGAACAGGCACAGTCAAAGGGGCAGCATGGGATTGGGAAGACTAGCAGACAAGGTAAGCGCGGGACAACCAGGGGGGGGGGGGGCAGAACAGGCCCCGTCAGAGCGGCGTCCAGAAGGCAGAATACGCACGGTCAGAGCGGTCAACTGGAAACGGAACAGGCGCGGTCAGAGCGGTTAGAGGTCAGACAGATACCTGGGGCCAACAGTCACAAAGTGCGTCACCTACGTCAGAACAGCCACGGACCGCGAGCACGAGCCACTGCAGCACCGGAGAGGGGTAGGGAGTCATGGGAAGATAGCCACCCGTGACAGAGCGCCGTGCGGAGCGCTCCTCTGACAACCCACCTGAGTGGAGGTCTCCACAGTGCGCTGGCGCACGCCGCCCTCATACAGCTGCTCCATCGAGGTGCCCCAGAACACGCCGTACTGAAGCGGCATGGCCGAGCCGCCGGCGGCGCCGGCACTGCCCTCTGTCGGCGGCGGCTGCCAGCTGAGCTTCACCAGTGTGCCGCTATGAGGCGACAGCTCGGCGGTGAAATTGGCCACGGCAGCCAGCTGGCGGCCGCCCGTGGTCGCCACTGTCACGTACTCGGGGCCCGTGAAGCGGCCGCGGTAGCCGCGGGCCACGATCTCGTACCGGGTGCCCGGCGACAGGCCCGTCACTGTCGGCACAGGGAGGGGAGGGGAGGGTCACTATCGGCGAACCGGTCACTGGCAGTGGATGGGGAGGGAGGTAGGTCAAAGGAAGTCGTTGGTAGACACCCCAGGCACGGGACCGTCTGACTTTCACAACAGCAGAGGGCGAGGACTGAGGAGTCTGGATGATGGAGCTAGACGAATACTGAATAGAAGAAAAAGCAAAAAGGTATCAAATTGAAGCTGCATACAACCGAAACAATATAACCAGTCCACACAAAACATAAGTGAAGTGTTGCGAGCTCCTAGGGCGGCGCTCAGGTCATCTTGCCATTCTTAACCCTCTCCCCCTTCTCTGACGACTACATTCATTGGTTGTTTCACTCCACCCCTCCTCCCGTATACCTCCCTCCCGTGCAAGCTGCAGCTGAAACAAATTGTCCCTAGTGCCCCCTTCGTCCCCAAGCTTGCTCCCCCTACTCACACTCCAGCTGATGTGTATCCCCCTCGACTCGCTCCTCTCCTGCGGGCACCAGTCGGTTGTCTGCCGGTCGGTAGGTCACCAGTACTCCCGCAGCCGACGGCAGCGGCTGCCAGCGCACCGTCAGGCCATGTCCGTCCGCAGCCGGCACCGCGCGGAACTCGCTCAGCGGAGCGATCACGGCGTCCGCATCGAACACGACTGACGCAGAGTGGGAGCGCTCGCTCAGCATGGCAGAGTTCTCCGCCTGGACCTGGTGAGACGGGGGGAAAGACGGAGGAGTCAGAAGGTTACAGGAGAGCGCCGTGAGATAGACAGAGGGGTCAGATATGTCACATAAAGACAGTCAAAGCCAGACGGTGGTCTAGCACGATTCAACTCTGATTTCCTTTAATTCCCACCGTTGTCAGTCCTGCCGAGACACCGGAGCACGGTAAGACATTCTCGCCACCCTGTCTGCCAGATTTACCTTCCCTCCAGGGAAAAGCCGGCTCAGTCCGTTCGAGGCTACTGACACAAAGGAGTACTGGAAATCTATCCCACTCACAAAGAAAGTCGACTGCCCGCCACTGTCTTTCAAGGCCACTCACAAAGGAGTACTTATTGCCTCGTTGAAATCCTATCGCACTCACAAAGAAGGAGTACTCGACAACAGTCTGGAAAGTCTATCCCACTCACAAAGAAGGAGTACTCGACGCCCGGCTGGAAGTCGAGCACCACGGTGAAGTTGGTGTGGCGCGTGATGAACATCTGCGGCGGCTGCGGCGGCGTCAGTGACAGCCGGTAGTTGAGCAGACGGCCGTTCAGGTGTTTGGGCGGCCGCCACGAGACGCGGATCGAGTGGTGGTCCAGCTGAGTAGCGTTCACACGCCACGGAGGTGACGGCTCTGCCGGGGCGAGAGGGAGTGTGGTGAAGTTACCATGGTGGCGGCGAGGGTTCTACGGGGACGTCCAGAAACCCCATCGGCAAGTCAATAAGGTCAAAGCATCGTCGAACTCGACAGAACATTGTATAAACCGTCGAAGACCAGAGCAGCCCGGGAACATGTCAATTGTCTAATAAATGTTCGTAATTTCTCCGATCATTCAAGGCTACCCTAACCTACCAACAATGCGATGTAACTATTAAATGATACGCTCAGCGCTCACCTCTACCACACTCCATCTCGGGTCCCGGCGCCCACTCTCCCTCTCCTCCCCACTCACTGGCACTGGCAGTCCTCTGGCTGATGTACTGACTCGCCGGGAACACGTCCGGCCGTCCCTCAGCACGTACAAACACGGTGATGTTGTACCAAGTGTAGGGCTCCAGATGTTCGAACGTAAACTCGGGCTCTGCCACCCAGGTCATGTTGAGCCAGTGGCATGGCTGACCGGGCTGGTACACGGCGCATATTGATGGCAGGAACCTGCAGAGAAAGAACGGCAGAGAGGGTCACAGCTGGTAAGCAAGGCGCATAGTGACGGCAGGACTCTGCAGACTGCAGAGTCCGCAGACACAAGGGCAAAGGCGGCCAGACTAGTAATTGTGAGCAGAAGTTATCATTGGTATACGATGTCGGCGCCAGGGTCACCGAATCAACCAATTTCAGAAATCCTTGTAACATACTAACGTTTATTCCAATATTCAGTCGTAGACTCTATTGTCACTCTGCGTTATCGTCTCCCCACTGCAGCGAGATCCAGACACCCCTCCCCACTGTGGACGCCGGACGACTGCAGCCACGCGCCTGTCTCACCTGAGTCTGGTGAGGGCGGCGGCGCCACGAGCGTTCGTCTGCCACCGCACTGTCAGAGAGCTGTTGGACACCTCGTCCAGTGTGTAGCTGACCACCTGAAGGCGGCAGAGGTCGGGGTGAGGCGCACACAGCGATACACAGAAAAAAAAATCAGGGGAGAAACGAGCGGAGAGGCGTCATAAGAAAAATTGACTTCACGGCAAGAGATACAACACAGCAAAGCAGGATTGCGTCACCAAAAGTCCAGAGTACCATCTGGCGATGCTTGAATAATATCAACGCTCGGCTAAATTATCTCGCTCACATCACTTGCCTTTACCCACTCTTACCACTTCAACAAACAGAAATACACGTACCCTGGCTCAACCAGCCCCATGGTATGATATTCTCTACCGTGCCCGGACTGCGCCCCTCACGTGCACAGTCGAGCTAGTCCCGTCAGTCAGGCGAGCCGGTTCGTCAAGTCACCCAGCCGGCCTCATAAGATCAGTCAGTCAGGTCAGTCAGTGCCTTGGTAAATCCGCCCCCATAGGTTAGCCCCCTACCTCTAATCCCCCGCTCCGCATACCTGGAAGACGGTGCTGTCGTCTCGGCAATTGACCTCGTCATAGCCATCGACACAGTCTCGGTGTCCGTCGCAGTACTTGTAGTAGGGCAGGCAGGTGTGGAAGTCGCAGCGGAAGTCCCCAGAGGGACAGGTGAAGGGCTGCACCGTGGTGCCGCCCTCTGTCGAAAGGCAACGACGGAGGGCGGTCAGTTACAGTGCGAACATAGTGCACACGGCAGCGGCAGTGAAAACCGCCGGTCGGTATTGAGGAAAGCTGCCTAGTGACTACAACGTGAATACATGGCTCACCCTACCAGAGTGTCCCATCCTACCCGATCAGCTTGAAGCTTCCCCATTTCACTTATCCGAGCACCCCCCCCCCCCCTCCCCCCACATGCACACACCTACCTGAGTGGCCCACCTTATCCGAGCACCCCCCCCCCCCGCCCCTCCCCACACCTACCTGAGTGGCCCACCTTAACCGAGCAGCCCCCCCCCCCCCTTACTCGAACAGACCCGTACTTACCCGAGTGGCAGGCCTCCTCGTCCGAGTTGTCGGCGCAGTCCTGCCGTCCGTCGCAGACCCTCTCTCGGCCGATACACTCTCCGGAGAGCAGACAGCGGTAGTGGTCGTGGCCGCAGCCGGCGTGCGCACAGTCGGCCTCGTCCTCCCCGCCCGGGCAGTCGCGGTCGCCATCACAGAGCCAGGCCGACCAGATACATTTGCCTGCCACAAAGTCATAGCGACCGTCACACAGCGTCGACCGTCACCTGACCGGTACACAGCCACGCAGACCAGATGCACTTGCCTGTCATATAGACATAATTATTGTCACACAGCGCAGATCGTCACACACCAACGCCGACCGTCACAGAGACGCGCCGACCAGATACATTTGCCTGTCACAAAGTCACACATACCGTCACATTACACACCGATCGTCATACAGCCATGCAGACCAGATGCACTTGCCTGTCACAGTCATAAGTCCGTCACACAACCAAAGTTCATGACGGGTGACGTCGAAGACCGTACTATAGCCGTTATCTAACACGATCAACTGCAGGCCAGAATCAAATGATAACGGTATCCGAATATCGTGTACCATGACAGCTCCTCCGCTGCGCAGGGATGCGCGCTGCCCCTACTCCAAACTTCAGCAACGTTTCGTCGAGTAAGACCTGACCTCCTGTCCCTATTCCGGTCCCGGTGAGTCCATTTCGGGCAGTTCCTTTCACAGGTCTTTTCTGCATACGGCGCACAGAGGGGTACAACCCTTTCCAAATCCTCACCACCCTTCTTCCCCGCCGCCCCGCCCCCGCCCTCACCGGAGTCGCAGCGGAAGTGGCTGGCCGAGCAGGTGGTCGGAGCGACCGGCGGCGGCGGCGAGCCCGTGGCCGGCCGCTCGGTGCCGCTGTCACAGCCGCGCTCGTCGCTGTTGTCGCCACAATCGTCGGCGCCGTCGCACTTCCACCAGACGGGGATGCAGCGTCCGTTGTCGCAGCGCAGCAGGTGGCCGCTGGAGCTGCCGCACTGGCCGGTCGGCGGGGCCTGGGGAGCGGACAGCGGTAAAAGAAATGGTCAGAGCTGGGACACAGACCACAGAGGACACGGACCAGAGAGGACACTGATCAGAGCAGTCACATATCAGAGAGGGCACAAACTAGACAGCAGTCAACATGAATCCAGTACCGTGCGATACCATGGGGTTATAGATCAAGCGGCATGATACCGTGGGTAACGTTGCCCCAGCTCTGCCGTACCGTGGGGAATGTGGGCACGGCCGGCTCGGTGGTCGGCGCCGCCGTGGTGGTGGCGTCTCCGCAGCCCTCCTCATCCGAGTTGTCGCCGCAGTCGTTCTGGTTGTCACAGCGCCATTTGCTCTGAATGCAGCGCTTGTTGGCGCACTGCCACTGCCAGCTGGGGCAGGTGTGGTTGGCGCAGCGCGTCGGGTCCTCGTCCTCCCCATCAGGACACTCTGCCGTGCCGTCACACACCCAGGCCGGCGGCAGGCACTGGCTGGACGACCGGCAGGCGAAGCTTGGCGGCTCGCAGGGCGGCGGCGCCGGCGTGGCGCAGCCCTGCTCGTCAGAGTTGTCGCGGCAGTCGTCCTCCCCGTCACACCGATACTGGGCCCGCACGCAGCGGCCGCTGTCACAGCGGAACTCTGCCTTCGTGCAGTTGGGGTACTGGCAGTCGCGCTCGTCCGAGCCGTCCTGGCAGTCGTCCTCAAAGTCGCACCGCCACGAGCCGGTGATGCACCGGCCGTTGTCGCAGCGGAACTGGAGCGGCGCGCACGTGGAAGTGCCGCAGCCGGCCTCGTCCGAGCCGTCGCCACAATCGTCATCGCCGTCGCAGATCCAGTCGCGGTTGATACATAACTTGCTGGTGGCGCACGTGAAGAAGCCCTCCGGACACACGAGGTTCACTGCAACACGTGAAACGGATGCATAAATGCACGATCAAAATAGCGAAATTGCGGAAGTCATACAAATTTTCTAGAGACCGTATTCTTTTTTTCTCCAAATGAGTAGGCAAAATAGCATATAAAACACTGCCTCTGTGCCATAAAACTCAGCAAAAGTAATTAGGTAGATACGTACACACTTATGAATAATATACCAGGGCGCTATGCGTGAGCGATTTTTCAACACATTTTACACTTAACTGTTCCTTGCCAGGTTACTATCAGCGTGCTGCGCGGACCCGCGATCCTCGGCCGTGCGGCGCGCTCACCTGACGGACAGGTTCCGTTGGCGAAGGGCGTGCCACCACCGGGACAGAGGCACTTGTCGCCCTGCCCGCTCAGTCCGTCCGGGCAGAGACAGCGGTGCCGGCCGGCCGGCCGCGGCGTACAGATCCAGGGGCAGCTGGTGTTGGTACAGCCGCTGACACCCTCCTGGGACTGCTGGCCGTACACCTGGTGAGGGGAACAGGGAGATGTCACCGATGTCACCGATGGAGACATGGGCAGGCAGACGTCACATACATACACGCAGTACCTTGCGTTTTTAAACCGCAACCGCAAAAACGTTTTGCGTTTTTTCACCGCAAAACGCCGTTTTTTGCAGCGTTTTGCGGTTTGCGGCGGCCGGCCGTTTTTTGCGGCGTTTTGCGATTGCCAGCGGCCGGCCGTTATTTGCGATAACGACGGCACAAATGTGCGATTTGTGTCCACTCCTGTGGTATGAGGACACAGAGCAGCACGTCACCATGACTAACCACCCGTACGCCGACACAAAGCGCGTGACATAGCACAGAGCACAGCTGTTAGTTCTACAAAATAAGTCCTCTCCGTATGCGGGCAGGTGGCGCCCGAGTAGCGCTCAGGCGCTAACTGCTCACTGGTGACCTGCATACGACGAGGACTTATTTTGTAGACTTACTTTACGTGACACAGCATAGCAGGTGAAACAGGACATCATAGCAAGGACAAGGTACTGCTCCCGCTGCAACTCGTGAACATACCAGTCTAAGACTACCCTAAAAAAGCACAATTATTCACTGACAGTAGAACAATTGTTATATCAGAAGATAGCATATTAGAACGAAATTTATCGCCCAGCCAATATTTTACTGCCCAAATTTCCAGACCAGTAATCCGGCCTGTCCTTCAGACAGCAGCTCACCGCACCACCCATCCAGTGGAGGCCGTACCTGGACGCTGACCACGTTCGGCATGCCCTCCAGCACCTTGACGATCCGCTTTGGCTCCAGTTTGTCCGACATGAGTACACTCTCGATGCGCCAGTCGTTCCAGAACATCATATCCTTGTAAACGGCGATCGAGAACGGGTGGCCGCTGTACTCCTGTGGAGAGCACGGGACAGCCGCGGGGTCAGTTATGACGCTCAGAGAGCGGGTGGCTGCTGTACATACTCACTTTGGGGAGCAGGGGACAGGCGGGGGTCAGTAACGCTCAGAGCTGCGGGTGGCCGCTGTACTCCTGTGTAAGGCAGGGGACGGCGGGGTGTGTAACCTTAGAGAGTGGGTGGCCGCCTGTACTCCCGTGGGGAGTAGGGAGCGGGGAGTTAGTAGGATTCAGTCAGGGGGTCAGTAGGGGGGCGGGAGTCATCATGGAGCAGGGGAGTCAGAAGGAAATGCTGGGGGAAGTCAGTAGTGCTCAGAAAGCGGGTGTCTGCAGCAGCTGCTGTATAACTCTTGTAGAGAGCACGGGGCAGGAGGGGTCAGGCTGCAAGGCTCAGGATAGATGTGGGATACTTTAACACGCGCACTGCAGGGGGGGGGGGTTGTTTTCAACCCCCCCCCTGTGGTTTTTCGCAAATTGCGAGAAAACGGCGGCGCGTAGCGCCGCCAAATTTTGCATACCTGTTCTCACAACTTTTGCACACCTTGAGTAAAAATTTTGACCCCAGGTGACCTATGGTCAGGTCACCAGGTCAGGTCAAGTGACCCTACCTCGAAACGTAAATTTCGAAGTTTGCAATCCCACCAAGCCCACAGTTGTTGAGATATGATCTTGAAACCCACAGGAAATAGTAAAGTCATCACGAGCTACAACTTGTATATCTCGGAATTTTTATATCGATGACCTAAGGTCAGGTCATTTTTGCGACCGGCCCATTATAAGTCAATGGGAAAAATTTCAACTTACTCTGAATGCCATCCTATGACTTCAATACGCTCAGGATCATAGTATTACAGGTCCTTGTTGGTGATTTCACCGAAACATATCACTTATGACCTTTGGAAGGTGATCTCCAGGTCATCTTAGGTCACCTGAGGTCACCAGCGGTTTTTCTTCAATAACTTGAGATTGAGTAGAGATAGAGACTCCGTTCGACGTTTATCGTGTTTTTCTCGTCAATGCGGATCGAATGATATGCAACATGACCTATTTCGGTCAGGTCATGACCTTGACCTGAGGTCAAATTTTCAACTTGACCTTTCGAGGTCATATTATACATATCATATTATATGTATATCATTCGATGCGCCTTGACGAGCTAAGAACGATGGCGTTCGAATCGATCCTCTGTCTTGTGTGCAAGACAAGTTATTCAAGAAAAACTACCGCGAAATTCCTGTTGTGAAAATCGTAACATTTTGTCTTCGGTGACCTCTGGTGACCTCGTTTTTGACCTGACCCAAAAATGATCTTAGTATTTCTTGTCGATCTCATCTTAACCTATCCAACGCCGTTTACCGCTTGTCGCTACGTTGCGCCGTTTTTGAGATCTCAGGGGGGGTTGTTTTCAATCCCCCCCCTGCAGTTCGTGTTCGGCTCAGACCCGCTGCAGTGCGCGTGTTAATTTCAGAATATGGACAGAGCTTTGACAGCTGTCGCCCTTGCCTGACGCAATAATCTAACAGCTCAAACTGGCATACGAGTTTTCTATCACATTGTGTGACCCGAGAACTAAAAGATATGCTCTGAACAACGCTCTTAACTCTCTGCCCCCCCCCCCCCCGGCATCCCGTGCGTCCCTTTCCGACCGTCCTGTCATGTCTCATGACCTCCCTTCCCGCGCGTCACTGACCGTCTTGTCCTGCAGTATTTTGCGGTTGGAGCCGTCCAGGTCTGCCGAGGCGATGTAGTCTAGATTAGCATCCACCCAGTAGAGCCGGTCGGTGGAGTAGTCTATACACACACCGTTCGGCCACACCACCTGGCCGCGGCCCGTGATCTGTTTCGGCTCCGTGCCGTCCATGAAGGCGCGGTAAATGCCCGGAGACGTCTGTGACCAGTCCGTCCAGAACATGTACCTGGGGGAGAGGGACAGAAGCGCCGAGTTGAATACATGAGAAAATAGTCTTCGACCACAATTATGACTGGGTCACCTTCAGAAGCATATCATGATACAATTACTGGAGTGAACCTCTAACGAAGCATCTTACCACCCGTCACTGGGGTGAAGCTGACCCGCCTACGTCCCCTGCTGCCGTACAGTTAACCTACTCGCCCTTCGGTTAGTAGAGCGGCAGGCCCCTACACAACGCCATGGTTGTAGTGTATCCTGTCTCACCATTTGGTGGGGCGTACTACTACCCATCCTTTGATGGGACGGAGCGTCAGGTCCCTGTTCCCCCGTGGTCCTTTGGCGAGGTGCCACGCCCACTTACCCCTTGGTGGGATGGAGCGCCAGGCCGCGCGGGTTCTCCAGCACGCTCCTGTCGAGCAGTGTGGTGCGCAGGTGACCGGCGTGCCGCACGGCCGGACGCAGCAGCTGAATGGTCGCCGTGTCCGACTCAGTGAGATACAGGTTACCCGTGGTCCAGTCGAGCGCCAGGGACTCCACTGTAGACGCGTTGTGGTTGAGGACAACTTCCTGACCGGAGCCGTCCATACACTGACGCTGCGGGCGAACAGACGGGCTCAGATTTCATGACGGTTATTTATTTATTTATTTATTTATTTATTTATTTATTTATTTATTTATTTATTTATTTATTTATTTTTGTTGGGTTAGGCCCTTTCGGTCCAATGGGCATTTCAGAGCCGGGAGGATGATAGGATATAGGGGGAGACAATGGTCTGGGCAGGCACCCTAGTGAGTCAACGGGGCTGAGTCCGTCCAGAGGACACGCCACCCAGCCCCAAGGCACTCACTGCACCCGGCTACGGGGTGCGCTCCCTGGGGAGCAGCGGTGCCGCTCCAAGGGAGCAGCCCGCATGAGATAACGTTGTCTGTCCAGCCCGGAGGGCGGTTGCGGCGTGGAGGAGAAGGATTTCGGTATCCTGAGGATAGAAGCACGGAACGGTGATGGCAGTTATAGGGGCGGACGGAGGTCAAATGTCACAGGAGACGGGCTGGGGGCCGGACAGACGGGATATAACGTCACGGCCGTTATCGGGGCGAACGGACGAACGGATGGAAAGATGTCACTACGGTAAGGGCGGTCACAATGAAAGTACCGGTAGATCCGACTCGTCATAACGAACATCGCCAACCAGGTGACCATGACAGTTTAAACACGGACCCAGCCAAGGAGACTTGACTTCAATTTGAAACCAATACGTTTGCAGCACGTTCAACCCTGGCTCCTCATCAGATCAATGTTATCAACTAGGCCTCCCTATCAAAAGCCAGCACCACCAGCAAACCTTTCGCACCTCCGCCCCCCCCCCCCTCAAACACACTCCCAGCGTCACTCCAGATTCCAATCCCTCCATAAAATCCACCCGTCCCTTCCGTCCCACACCCGGACACCCACCATGACGTGTTTGAAGGCGGTGTCGGACCAGTACAGGCAGCCCGTCCGCTTGTCGTACTCGACAGCCACCACGTTAGCGATACCAGTGAGGGGAGCGGGCGTCGGCGCTACGCCACTCTCGACATCCTTCAGGGGCAGTCGGAGGATGGCATCTCGGCGAGCCAGCAGCAGAAAGTCGGAGATCTCACTGGGGACACAGAGCAGTGGCAGTTAGAAAGGGAGAGCGAGGGAGGACGAGGGAGAGCGAGGAAGGCCGGGAGACGGAGAGAAGTGGAATGACATGTAACCATAGAGGATGGCATAGGGGACGGAGAAGGCGCAAGAGAACACGAGAGACGAGAGAGGGTAGTGGGACATAATGATATCATAATGATATAACTCATATAAGGAAGAAATGGTCCGGAAAACAGAAATTGGCAATTACGGAGATGTCGAGCTGCCGCTTGATGGTTCTGTCTGTACTGACTACTGACAGTGAACAATCTTTGAACAGTCTAGTCTTTGAAGCTACCACAGAAAGGCAGACACGGCTGCGTAAGTGGATATGTTAACCCTCGCATGTGTGCGGCGTTTGCCAGCTTCTAATGTGTAGGGGGGGGGGGTCGGTTGGACCCCCCCCCCTTGCCGTTTGGCCCCTGATCGAGCTAGAGCTTCGCGGAAAAAACGAGCGTGTTGCCCGTGACGAGAGGAAGCCGATGATACCCAATTTTAAGGTCCTAGGTCATTGGTTGACCTTCCAGGTCAGGTCAATGACCCAAAGTCGGGAAAATCGGGACCTGTTAGAAAGTCGTAAAGTGTGGCTGCTAAGGGGTTTTTCGGGGTGCTGATCACGAATATCGTGTTAGTTTTGATCACAGATGATGTCTTGAAGCATTTAGACCAGGTCGGGTCAGGTCAGGTCAGGTCAACCAGTAGGCGTCGTGACGGGTATTCGTAGTACGTGTCAACCGCCTCTGACAGCTTCGTAACATGTTACGAAGTCACCAAAACTACTTCGTAAATGTTCAAATGGTTGCTAAATTCGAATTCAGCTAAAAAAAAACTAGCCTAGAAACATGTAAAACTCGAAAAAGTGACCCGAGGTCACCCGAGGTCATCAAAGGTCAATGACCTGACCTGACCTTCAGGTGACCTTGACACACACACGGGAGTAACATCAAATCACATGTTTGAACGTTTGAAACCACGAAAAGCTTGCAAACACGCGGCTAGTGCGAGCCGACATACGCGAAATCGCGATTCCGGCCAAACATGGTCTCGGAAAAGAGGTCACAGGTCAAAGGTCATTTGGGTCAGGGTCATGAAATTTTCAGGGTAGGTGTAAAATTGATCAATGCGAGGGTACTGAAAGTTTCGTCGCGATCGGCCGCTTTTTACGCGAGTTATTCGCGAAAAACCATGGGGGGGGGTCCATCCGACCCCCCCCCCCTACACATGCGAGGGTTAAATGTGCAGAAAAGGTTAGACCATATCATCTGATCATACCTCACTGCAATGTCGATGAAAAGGCTCATCATCAACGTCCATAAGTCAAGACACTGCATGGCAGCTTAGAGAAACACCAGCTGTCAAACTAAAAAAAGGCCGTAGTATGCGGCGGAGCCCTAATATAATAGCTCAGCGGCTAACTATCAACAGAAAACAGACAACAGACAAGCCAGCCGACACCATTACCCGTCAACGCCGAGTGCCGGCTAGCCGTCTCCCTTCCCTCACCTGACCGGGCAGGGCCGCGGGTCGGGCTCAAACAGCACAGCCGCCACGGGTCCCGGCTGGCACGTGTCGCCAGGCACGCGCACGAAGCCCCGCGACACGTTGTAGTAGGAGCCCTCGGGACACTGGGTGGGGTCGAAGGCGGGCGGAAGTCGGGCCACCTCTGGGTCTCGGACGCAGGTGGCCGTCCGACCTGTAGCGCCCACGGCTGACTCCTTGTATCCAAAGTCGCTGCCGAGAGGGGAGGGAGGTGAGCCAGGACTGTCAGAGAAACCCCGATCACAGCCAGTCAGCAAGGTAGAAAATCAAGTTAAACATCGCCAGAGCAGGTCTACAAGAATACAAATCGAGAATCGTATAGACACAACAATCCGGAACAAAAAATACTACCACCTGAGACAATGTGCCCAAGCTCGTCTGTTTTGACCACAAACAGCTCACGTCATGGCTGTTGACTTCCTTATCCGAAAACAAGTGATAACATCGTATCGAACTCATTTCGTAGCAACTATCAACCAGCGTGTTATCGCCTAAACCACAGACCAAACACTGCCAGCCTCAGCAGCCACATCGACAGGCCTAAAAATCACACCTATCAGCTCGATCCCGTCCCGGCCCGGTGGCGGCCGGGACACCTCGTGATCCGTGATTCTTCCCACGGAGCTGACCCTTCGAAGCCGCACCTGTGATCACTCCAATAAGCGCTCACCACAGTCCTAGTTATCCCCTTCTCACAGACCTAAACACAAGTAGTGACCCTGACACGTAATACACAACCACACCCCTTTGAACCCTCCCGTAGCTAACTCACCACTCGTAGTCGTCTCTCAGGCAGGCGCAGTTTTCCACAGAGACCAGTGGCTCGCGGCCGCCCTCCCCGATGTAACAGCGCTGGTGCGGCAGTCGGCGTCGGTACGTCTCCTTTCGACCCAGCAGACAGCCGCGGCCCGACGAGCGGCCGCGCGGTGTCCACAGCTTGTAGTCGTCCTGCGTGCAGTTGTGTCCTGCGCAGGACACACGCTAGGTCAGGAAATGTGAAAGAGGTAGGCAGCATTTACAGGGAGGCAGGGCGAGGCTGCAGCTTTGTTAGGGCGGCTGGGTAATTAATGGCCTGCAGAGGACATTAATGGTAAGCTGGTGTTAATGGTTTCCATTCGACGCACGTCATTAATAAACGCTTAATAAAAGCTTTAAAAAATCTACACATTCAAAGCTGGGTAAGTATAAAACATAACACGTTCCAAACCCTGTTGCCCAGACCAACTCGGACGAGTCCACTTTGCGCCACTCACTGAACTGGGACCTCAGGTCGACGCGGACCGAGATCCAGCCGCTGCGGTCCATGCGCGCGCAGAAGATGAGGAACACGGTGCCGGAGCCACCCGACTCCGTCAGCAGACTGTACACCTTCACCTCGTCCGTGAAGAACAGGTGGCGGCCCCACGTCATGCCTTCGTCGAGCGAGTAGAGCAGTTCGCGTGTGCCTCCTTCGCTGTAGCGCCGCACGGCCACGATCAGGCCGCCGTGGTCACCGAACGCGTACAGAAACTGGCCGCGTAGCACCTGAGGTAGGGGAAGGAGGAGCAAAGGTTAGAGAGATACCCGCTGAACGTGTACAGGAACCGACCGCGCAGAACCTGCGGCGGAAGGAAGGGGCAGATAGAGGCAGAACAGAGGTCAGGAAGAAACTCCCGACTGCACTTTGTAGAAACATCCGATACCATCACCGTCAGTGTATGAAACCGTCAGGATGTCAAAAAGTGGTTTACTCCAGCAGTAGAAACTAAAAAACCAAGCAAGGTAGATTTCCTTCGATCGGACTTCTGCAACGAGTATCACATCCACACATTGTGTTCCTTTCCAGCTCCCATGCCGAGCTCAACCATCTCGTGTCATGCACACAGCCTGAGCTGTCTATAAACCCTTCCCCTTTCCTGACTCTTCTCCTTCTTTTCCCGCACCTAGCCGACCCGTCCGCTCCTATCACCTCCCGTCCCTATCCTCACCTGCCGCCACGTAGCGCCGGCGTCGCGGCTGAGCACGATCGACGGGTGGCCTTTGAGCGAGTCGCCGATGACGCCGGTGGCCATCACCAGCCCGACGGCCGACGAAGACGACAGCACCGGAATGTACTTGGTGCCCGGGTACAGGTTGGTCATCTCCTGGGAGATGTGCAGCGAACAGTTCTCCGCCTGCGGAGGGGAAGAGACGGCGATAACGGGCGTCAGAAAGTAGGAAATGGAAGTCAAAAGACAAAACAATCAGCAACGGCCGAGATTCGAGAAACAGTTCAAGACAAGTATGCGGTAAGAAAATTGAAATAGCCAAACACAGATAGTATAGACTTTGGCACTAAGTACGTTCATGAATGCATAACTCTACCGTACCACCCTGAAGCAAACACAGCATGGATTGCGCCGACGCGACAAATTCGTGCCGACGCGGATGTTTTTATACCGTCACCTACTCTTCGCAGTGGATAGGCACGTCCTACAGTAGGTATGACGTGTGTCGACTCGTTACCCACCTTCTCGCAGTGTATCGGCACACCAGTGGCATCAACTGTCGGCGGGGACACCGGCTGCCAGCGGCCGCCCTTATCGAACGTGATGAGCGTCAGTACGTGCTCGGGACCCAGCCGGCTGGCCTGCTGGCCGTCATAGTCGGGAGGCAGCCGCGACGCCAGGTAGATGCCACGCAGGCCGCTCACACGGTGGACGTCCACAAAGTCGCCGCCCACCACACTGCCGGGGAGACAGGGAGCTGGTCAGGGAGACGGGAGAGAGAAGGGCAAATGGTCAAGGGAGAATATGTGGGGACAGTCGATCCGTAGCATGGCTAGAGCAGGTATGACAGATCGGCGCAACAAACACTCCATATGTTTTTCCATCAGTAGGCACGTCAGTATGTATCCTTGTCAGTTAGGTATTAGTAAAGTAGCCTTGAGTAGGCATGCCCGCGGTCTGTCTGCAAATTAGGGTGCGCCAAAGGGCGGGTGGACAAGTGAAGCATGTCCTAGAAAAAGCTGTTATTCGTCTCAAAACAAGGATTCGCTTAGAATTCGTGAGGATGATTCACGAAAAACACGTGACACGTGACACGTGACGAAACACGTGACGAATATTCGCTGCTGTACGCAGTTGCAAATCGTGAACAAAACATGCACCCGAGGCGAGTGAATGGCTGCAGCTACAGCCGAGCCCGGTAAAAACAGACCACAGCGCCCCAGTACCAAGCCGCGTCAGCGACCGTTAGGTACCCGCGGTAGGTGACTGTACGCCGCTTCTGCACTGTGACTCACGCTGTGAGCGCAATCAGGTGTTACAACATATGTCGACGGCTGCCGCAGCTCGCGTGTCGAAAAACACCACCGGGCACGAAACCAATTTGCGGCATCGATACATCAAACCGACGGGTGTATTAGTTCGATCAGGTAAGGCTAGGGCTACTGACGAGCCTTATACAGCAAAAAGGCGAAAGAAAATAGCGATATAATTAGTAGAAAAGATATAAAAAGTATTGGAATACAAATAATATGATAATGAGGTTTTACAGGCACAAGAACAAAGCATCTTGCAAGACATAAGCTACACATGATACCACTGCAATAATACCGATTCGAACCCAAAAGCCCAGCTCCCATCAGCGTCCACCAGTTTCTCACCTGAGCCACGATCCGGCGAACGTCTTTCCGGTGCTGTGCGTGAGAACGTTCTCCAGTGAGAGTGAGAAGCGCACGCCGCGCTTGTCCGGCACGGCCGACACGTACAAGCTGGACGAGGTGGCGTTGTGGATGACGGCCACCATTACCTGACGGTAGATGACGGTAGTCAGTACATAGGGGCTAGGACGCTACTACGATACAATCACTGCAGTTGTTGGTGGTAGTGGTCATTGAGGAAGAGCTGTCAATGACGGTAGGTAATCTAACCATCTTGGGGGTAGAGCTACCACAATGTTTAGCCTAAGATAGTCGAAGGTGGTCGTTGGGATAGGTCTGCCGCAACAGTGAAACCCACCTCTGCAGTAAGAGAGCCGTTCTGATAGCGCTGAACGTACTTTTTGAACGTAACTTCGAACGTAATCTGATAACGCCGTCCAAAATGTCCTGTTCCGCTCATTCAGCAGAGTAGCTGCCGAGTGCCATGCCTTCCCCACCAGCACCACCCATCACCTCCGGCGATGATGCGCTCACCTGATCATCACTAACGTCCACCACTTCGTAGTCGATAGCGCGCAGACCGGCCGGGAACTGGGCGTTTGTGAACGGATCCCCGCGGTGGCTAACCCATAGCTGTAGCGTGCCGTCCGACTGGTGCGAGCCCAGCAGTCTCTGCAAGAGAAGGAGGAGTTACCGCAGGAACGCAGAGAGCGACAGCGTGGACGACGAGGCATGGGAGATAGTCAAACGTCCCTCGGTCTCCTAAGTGAATTTCATCCCTCACAAACATTTGAGTTGAGTCATCTAACCGTTGAAGCTCACCAGTTTACTCGAGCAAGCATAAAAAACATACATTTGCTGAGCGACGATAAATTTAATCGGCACCTTTACGAACATCTAGTAATCTAATGAGCATCTAGCTATGATCATCTAGCCCACGCAGACGAACCAACAGTTCGTCACGTGACCGGAACCCTAACGTCGTAGAGGGGGCTGCACTCCACTGGGTGTGTCAGCTCGCCTCCACCGAGCCAAAAGTCAACAATGACAGACAGCGTGGTACTACAGCGCACTAAAGCGGACCGCCGCGCCCGGACCGCGCTCTATGAGTCAAGACATCGAAGAATGACACAGAATAGCTGTCGATTACGCAATACGCGCATCCCGCGTGTATGCCATCTCACTGTCTACCTACCTCCCCAAAAATCAGCCATCTCCCCGTCCCGTCCCATGGTGACCTAGTGTTACTTCTTCCTCTCTCTCTCTGTCCCTTCAGCATCTCCCTTCACCCCCTCTATCTCTCCCCTTCAGCATATCCCTTCACCACCTCTCTCTTCCCTTCAGCATGTCCCTTCACCCCCTCTCTCCCCTTCAGCACTCACCACCCGGCGGACGGCGAACCGGAAGTCCTCTTTGATGGTGAACTTTTCCACATCCTCTGCCACTGTGGTGTAGTTGAGGAAGAGACCGGTGGACGAGCGGACCACGCCCGGCCGTTCCGGCTGCCTCCGGTGCACGTACAGCACGGCCGGGTCGGCGGCCGCGTCCCACGTGTACGACGCCACGTACTGCTCCACCACGTGCCACGAGGCGCCGAACGTGTCGCTGGCCCATAGCTGAGGGTAGGGGGTGAGGTCAGGTGGCGGGGTGTTACTGATGGGTGGGATGACGGACTGTATTGGTTGGGTGAAGGGAAAGAGGAAGGCTGGGTTGTACAGTGTACGCATTGCGCCACGGTCATGATACTGCGGTGGGGTGAGAACCACAGTACAGTGACACATTCGGAAAACCCGCCCCCTTCCCAGCTAACATTGATAGCGGGCTGGCTGCAAAACCATACGAGAGCGGAAGTCATTCAATGGCATGACAAGCGCTGGCGAGTGGCGAGCCTCCACCAAACGGGCAACATACGCATTTCATAGCGAATTACTCACTCAGGGTCTCACTGCTAGGTGTGATAAATGTCAAAGTGCCACACGAATGTCCTAAATTTACAGCCGTAGTGATCGCTAAAAAATCGTAAACCTATCAGGTAATTGAGCAGAATAAAGATACCTTATCATTCATTGGAAATACGATACCCTATCAGAAAGCAGCCAGAAAGTGCTCAACATGCTCTAGCCGTGGACTGCCGTGGTAGGCGACATCACTCAAAATGGACAGACTCATTTAGCCCAATCAGTATCAATCTGACTCCATCGACAGAGCTGGGTCAGATTGACAGCCAAACGGCAGTAAGCGATCAGCAATCGGGCGGGGAGCACGGTGTCAATCAGTGTCAGCGGAATCAATCCGTTTATTGTACGTACTCCAGACAGCTAGCAACAGTGGTGAGCCTGCAGTCAACAGTCGGTAGCGGTATTCTAAGGTCAAGTCTACGGTGCAGCCTGCAGTCGTCTGCAGTCTGACAGTGTTAGCCCGACGCAGTCTTCGTGGATTGTGCGGCCAGTGCACCTGTAAGAAGGGCGTTAGGTACTGCGTCGCGGCACGAGTCACGGGCCGTCCCTGTAGACTGTGTGGCCCGTACACCAGCTAGTAGGTTAGGTACTGCGCCGCGGTACAAGTAAGGACCCCTGTCTTTGTCCCCATAGACCGTGCGGCCGGTGCACCTGTTAGTAGGTTGGGTACTGCGCCGTATGCTGCGTCGCGGTACCAAGTCAGGCTTTGTCCCTGTAGACCGTGCGGCCACTGCACAATAGTAGGTCAGGTACTGCGCCGCGGTACGAATTAGTGGCGATCGATCTGTCGCTCCACCCATTCACCCTCCCCTCGGCCGCTCGTCGGCGGCGGCGCAGCGACGGTGGACGACGCGACTCCTCACACACCGGTCACCCCCCGCACCGGCCACCCAGCCCCTCCCCGCCGGTCAGCCCACCCCCTCTTGCAGGGGTGACGGACGGTCTCAGTGGTCCGCTTTTCCTGGTCAGTCGGCCGGTAGCAGTGCTGTCCACTGTCCAGTGACAAGTGGTAAGCACCAATTGACTGTTGTAACCTCTAACACCTTCCGCTCAATGAACAGGCGACAGCCCCGTTGAACAACAGAACAGACGAACAGCAGAAGTAGCTAGCTGGGTTTTATCCCACATCACAGCGATGCTTATTTGCGCAGTCGGTCAGGACGAGCGCCAACAATCGTGACAAAAATGTCCACGGCGAACGCGGTTCATCTACGCAGTAGGCCAGAATGGGACTCGACGGGGTTCCACATAGGATCGGCGGTAGTTGCCGCTGACAGTTAGCGACACCACTGGGTGCACCGGTGTCGTCCGACCAGCGCCGTGGCTCACCCGACCGCGTTTGTTGACAGTGTCCTAGTATTGCAGACCGCAGTAAAATCATAGCCTGCCGTCCCCGTCCATTCCGTGACCGGTTCGGGCGCGTCGCGCCGCGGCGGCGGCCTTCACCGTCACGAACTGGCGCGACAAAGACCCGCGGGCTGTCACGGGAGGGGGCAGGGGGAGGGGGCTCTGTCGCAGCCGCCCGGCCGCCAACTGTGGCACAAAGACCGGCCGCTCGGTCAGCTGACGGTGGCGGGGCAAAACCCGCGCAACCCGCCGCTGCGTTATCGGTCGGGCCTCGCCGCCGCTGGCCGAGATAGGTTATCCGCGTCCAACGAGCAGCTGTAAACGACAGAAGCGAACCCACGCACCGCTATCGGTCAAGTTCGGCTGCCCCGTAGCCTCAGTGCGCTGTTTCGATTCACAGGCACGCGGCAAAAA